TTTCAAAAGATTAAGTACAATGAAGAGTTAAAAATTACAGGTACCAAGTATAATTACGTTTAAGTATGCACAAAATTTATAGAAAATTTAATCAATCACAAATAAAGTAAAGTAAATGAAACGGAAAAATTTGATTAATTTTTTTTTTTAATTCTGTTTATTGCCTTAGAGTAGACATGTTTTAATTTTGGGTACTTGTTGAGTTTTAACTAAAAATTGAATAAATCAGTTGTTTCTGCCAACAACTATTGGGTCCCTGAGAAAAAGTATTGCCGACCTGACGGGTGACAATGCTAACTGATGGTGCGTCGCTTCGAGGAACAGACTATCTCAGACAACAGATGCGGCTCCGTTGATTTATTGGCACAGTTCTACAAATCCTTTATTTGAAACACAGCATACTCTTCAATAAAATACATTAGATTGTATTTTATAGAAAAAAAAATCAAATATTGTACCAGTCAAATGATATGGACCATTCCACATTTTAGAAATAATATTTATTTTTTCTAAATCGTCTTATTATTACAGTATTGTAAATAATGTTTTAAACGTTTGATGTAAATATTCCTTTGGTCGGGAATCGTGAATATTCCTTCCGTTTTTATATAGAGGGACTAGGTTAATTACTCTCGTGAATATTAAAACAAAACCCCGGCACTGGATATAGACTTTTTGAGGGTGTTTAACTGTCGTTGGGAATTCGGGAATCTAATACCTTATTGACACTGAGTGACAAAAAACAATAAGAATATATATATGAAATGTGGGGCTTATTAAATACACTTTGAATGAATTGGCTCACCTGGTTTGTTATTCTTCAATTGTGAGGCATATAGGACAACTAAATAAATAAATGACTTTTCACTCCTGTCTAACAAAACTATTTATTTTACAACTGTAATTATTTAATCAATTAAATTCGTATAACTTTAGGCTTGATCTTCTTACTCTTCGGTGTACTGCCTCTCTCTTCTGACAAGCTCGTGTCTTCCTGTCCAGGCCTAGGAGTGTCTTCTCTTCTCTCCAACGTCCTTATCCCTTCATGTCATAGCCTCAAGTGCCTTCTCTTCTCTCCAGCGTCCTTCTCCAGCTGTTGCTACCTCCTTCGTCCTATTCCGACCTTCTTTCTCCTTCATCGATAAGAGACTTTTCAAAGAATAATTTGTCCACTGCAGGATTGAGTACAATTCACAGTGCAACCTCACATTCCTATATATTATATATTCCTTCTCATTCCATCACACAATGTCACATAAAGGAGTAAATACAGGGGGGTATCTACTACAGTATATTATAATAATTTTACATCTGGAAAGTGCTCATAATGATTTTTTATTTTTATAATTTTGTTTAGGGTTAGAGCATCAGTGATAGACATATCTATGGAAATTTTTTTTCTTTTTTGGCTTATTTTGCCAATTATAGTTATAAACTTCTCCGTTCGACATTTAGATTTTCTAGAGTCTCCTTTTTTAATTAAACACATTACCATTAAAAAAATATTCAGTTGTGTATCCATAATCTTCATTAAAAAAAAAAAACACCTTTTTGCACTAGTGATTGACATCCTGAAATTCAATTGTTCTAGGAATGGCCATACCTCAGAAAAACTCTAAAATGTTTATTTAACTTTACAGATAACGATAAAGGTAAAATAACATAAACTTTCAACTTACTCTTAGCAAAACTGTTAATAGGAAGGTATGAAACACACTGACCTCAAGAGCACTATAGAAACAACAATAAAAGACATTTTAAAATTTTCTTTTGGAAACTTTGTTCATACAGTTGTCAAAAGAGAGCATTGTTATTCAATCTAGAATAAACTGGAACCTTTAAATCAACAAGGGAATTTATTATTTACATTTAAAGTCCAACCTGCCCATCACTGGTGTGCTCACAATAATTGAAATGCGGATATTTGAGAAAGTCAAAATAATTTATTCCTTAATTATCAGTATATATTGATTCAAATGCCTACTAATAAAGAGAAGTAGCCAAGTTCGTCGATATATCCAATAATCTATAAAGGATTATTTAGACATCTTGAGTGACAAGACGATAATTCAGTTGGCAGAGTCACGCACGGTTCGTAACGAAGATTATTTTATCTCACTCAATATTTTAGTTGTTTAACATAAGGCTAAACTTACTTATCAACTACGAAATTCTCAAATTAGTTCTTCATTATACCTTTCAAATTTTCAAAATAGCTTTCGTATAGGCTCCTTCAACGGAAGAATATTTTTAAAAAATGGTTCACATCAGAAAAATCAACTTAAGATTTGACCTATAGTTACTTGCTTTTTGAAATGATAACAATAAAAACCATTTAAATGAGAAATATATAAAATTTATTTTTTTAAATAAACGAAATATAATAAACCGTTTATTTATTTTTTCTTTACATTAAAAATATGACAAATGTAAAGGAATATCATCATTCCATGGCTGTTCAATCAGACCGATTTCGGTCGCTCAGTTAGAGAAAATTAAATTTGTTCTCTGAAGAAAAATAAATCATCCTTCTTAGCTTTCAAACCATCTAGACAAAACGTTTTTTAAGTATCCATAAGTATGTCAGAAATAGTTTATAAAAAAAAATGTATTTTTAGAGTGCAGAAAAAATCATGTAGTGTAGTTTCAACACCAAGTGCAGAGTTATATACTAAATGGAATATCTTCTAAAGATAAAAGGATATCGAAGAAATTATTTGTTCATATTTTTGTTCAAGAAGATTTGGTATACCATACAAAAAATAATTTTGTGTGTATTTTACGACTTATTTATTTTTTCCCACTTCATAAACCATATATTGTTAATTTTTTTTATTTATAAAAGAAACATAAAACTTTTAATTTAATTTTTAAAAGATATATTTTTTTTTTATCATTTCTTGTTTAACAAAAATGTTATTTGAATTTAAATTTCAGTTCCTTTCAAGAGTATATGTATTGATTTCTATTTTAAAAAAATAATATACTAAAACGTTATATATACATATATTATAATTTATATATATATATATATATATATATATATATATATATATATATATATATATATATATATATATACTACTACTACTACTACTACTACTACTACTACTAATACTAATTTAAATTTTTGATATAATTTTTTCTTGGATCTAACGTCGTAAAATTGCTGTTGAAGAATATATTATTAAAGGGACATCGTCTGTACTATTTTTCTGTTACTGATTTTTTATCTTAATCATCTGTTGAAAACGGTTAATATCTGTTATCAGAAGAAGGTTTCGGATTTAATTTAGGGGGATTTTTCTCAAATTTGTTTTTTTAACAACGGTAATACGCTGGAAGAAATATTAAGAAGCTATTTAAAGCAAGGTATAAGTGTTCCTTGAAAGACTGACAAAAAAAAAAAAAAAAAAAAAGCTGTGATTTTGCAAACACAATAATGATTTTAGAGATAATTTTTTATTGACAGTAAAAAAAAGAATATATGCCCCGTTCAACCTATAAGTAAAAATATTTTTGGAAAATGTTCCATTAAATGTATTGATTTTCTTTTCCTAGCAAAGGCATTAAATTTACAATTGCATTAGTGATTATTTACTGAAAAATAATATTAAACCCATCATCATATAATTAAACATAAATAATTCTGGGTAATTAATGATACTTTAACGGTTCTATTCACTGAAAAATCCTTCCTTACCGATATAATTAACAGTTATATCGGTAATTTTTAACAGTTATATTTGGTAACAGTTATACAGCTGAATTCAAAATCTATAAGAAACAACTAAATACATCTATTACATATATTCCCTGTGTTCTGTGTTTCTATGAATATCCTAATGTTCCTTATTATGTTTCCAATCTACTTGCCCGTCCTGAACCCTTAAAGTAAATTTACCAGTAATAGATACTTTATGAGAAATTCTCAACATTAATGTGAACAACAGCTTTAGTTCTGATGGTGAATATTTTAACATTTTTTTATACAACAAATTCAATTCATTATTCGTGAACAATTTTTGTGAAATCATTAATTTATGCCATTTCTTAATTTTTAATTTTCTAATAAAACAATCATGATTAAGAATTAAAACTAGTGTTGTCCAAATGCGAGACCAAGACGAGTCTTGGTCTTGTGCACTCAAAATTGGTCTTCGTGTTGCGCAACAGTCTTGCAGTAACCTATTAGCTTATTAATATAGATATGTTACTGTAATTTTTTAGATAGGAGAAACCTAATTAAGCCCGAATAAAAAATTCGGAAGAGTTAAATACAAAAGTATATTGGTTATAGAAATTCTTTACATATAGTAACTAATATTGTCAAGTATTTTACATCAATTTTGATTTTTAAAAATAGATTTTTTTTTACCAGTCTTGGTCTTGGTCTTGCAATAGTTAAGTGGTCTTGGGACTGCACTAATTAAACTTTGCGTTGTGTTATGTTCTACAAAGTTAACATTTAAATATTTTTTAAAATTACCGGAATTTATTAGTTTTCTACTCGGACTGAGTACTGAGCAATATAATAATTATGAACTTTTATTATCTTTTGTACTTAAGTTTAACAAATACTTTTGTATGAAATTTATATAGGTATTAAAAAGTAAACAAAATTTTGATCTAGAACATTAATTTAACAGTTTTAAAAAAATGTTTACCTTTAACCTCTTAATGATATTTTTTTTTTCAAACAGTTATTAAGTTTGTTTCATTTGTAAAAACTGTTTCAACCCTCTCATTTGTAGTATCTATAGGATATATTTTTAGTTTACGGGTTGAAATTCTATTACTAGTACAGTTTCTATTACTGGTATATTTACCCTACCTATCTTTTCATTGAAGGTAGCTCACCTAAAACCTATTTTGTATGAGTTTATTATATTTTATACATTTTTTTTTTCATGATGTTGTTTTTATTTTTCATTATTGAAATCCTGCATGATATGTATTTATTTGTCTTTAAATATTTTTAACAATGAGGAATTATTTAGAGGTTACAGCTCTGATGGACGAGAAGCAGTCAAGTAGCTACCAAAAGGGATGGAAAAGCGTTTCATTAGGTAACACATAAACATTACAATGAAATAACCTTATCTATCTTCTACGCTTATGGGTGGCTGCTATTAATTCTCTGTTAGTTAAACTAATTTCACTGTATTAACATTACACCATAGTTTTTAAATATATTATAAAATATTCACAGCTGACACTGCTTCACTCACACTCTTCAATTCATGAGAGAGGATCGATTGTGGGGGTATTTTGCATGTGAATCTTGTTACTCTAGAAATTATAAAAAATAAAATAAAATATTATATGTACGACATACAGTTTACTTGAATTTTAAAAATGTTAAGATTAAATTTCTTTTTCTTCTTTCACATTATTTCTTGGAAGGGTCATGAATTATGTAACTATAAATGTTCCGTGCATCTTGTATAATGTATGTGTTTGCATGATATATCGGCATGAAATTTTCTTGAAATCTCAACCGAGAATAAAAAGTATTATTTAGTTATAAAGTTTTAATAATACATATTAGGTATGTTATATATTTTTATTACTATAAAATGACTCGTTTATGAAGCTTGGTGAAAAAAATTAGATCAATAAAGGTCGTTTTATACTGAAATATTACCTGTAGCATTGCTATTTGTAGAAGGTTGATAACATATATATGCTTACTTTCTACCACGGTCCATAGCGAAATGTTATTAACGTTTTGATCGAATTGGTATAAGTGAAATCAAATGTTATTAATAGTTTTCAGAGTAAATCTTTAATAAAATAATTATTATAACAAGTATTATTAGTTCAAATTTATATCTGCAGTAAACCCTCCTTAAGGTCAAAAAAATTGTTTCTTACGTCAAAAAAAAACTTTCAGATTAGTTTAAAGTTAATTATTCGACCATTTTAAGTTTACGAAAATCGACCACAAGCAATTACGTCTTGTTGTAAGTTACAGTTACTATTCTAGAAATTGTTTAATATTATTTGGCATATTTAGATTGGTTGGGACTCTTTTAAGTATTAATGATAGACAAATTGAATCATCTTTTCCCACAATCAATTTAAATTTACATACAGTCATTTTTTTCAGTATATAGCCGTCATTAGCAAATGTGAAAAATCTTTATACTCATTTGATCAAAAAAAAAAAAAATGTTTACCTTAAATCTACAACGAGATTTCTTCTTCTTATTATTATAAACAATTACCTGCTTATTAAAGACCACAATTCTCATTTTTATAAACAATAACCATTTTCCTAGTTCCCTAGTTAGTTAAGTCCAATTTAATAGACAGTATTTAAAGTTTAGTATAATTCTAAAATTATTATTATTTTAGTATCATTATGTAATTATTTCTAAATGTAAATACCCCTGCACTGATATTGCAAACAAATTAAATTAAATAGAATAAATAACAAAATCTTATTCCTGCCATTGATACTATTAATTACATAGAGATAGTCTCTTAAATTAAATAAAAATAAAAACTTAAAAATAATACGGTAATTATGTATATATACATTTATATATTGTACTTTGTAATAAAGAAATTCCTGGGGGTAGGAAAAAAAAAAATATGTAATATGGAAAATGAGTAAAAATGAGTAAAATGGAAGCAGCAAAGGACAAAAGTATATATAAATTCTAAATGAATTCTATTATCTTGTAAGGTTAAAAATGTTTTTAAATAAAAAGTTTAATAATTACAAATCAATTAATTATAATGTATGGTTACGATAAATCATGAGTTATATAAACGACAATTTATTAAAAATGTGTATTTTGCTTTTAAATTAGGAAATACCAAAGTTGCCGGTAAGAGTTGAAATTAATTAAATTTTATATGGTCTATATTGATTATTGATATAATTATTTTTTGTTTTTGGCAATGATGACTTCCAATTAAACAACAATTGAATTTATTTATTTCCAAATTACACGTTTACACGTTAACGTTTCGTGATATTTACTCCCATCTTCAGAACTACAATTCCAATGTTTTTTTGTTGTAGTATAATAAAATAAAATACATAATATCCAGAGCATCATCGTGCTTTTAGACCAACTATTATTATTACTGAAGATGGGAGTAAATATCCCGATACGTTAACATGTAATTTGGAAATACAAAAAACAAATTCAATTGTTGTTTAATTGGAAGTCATCACTGCCAAAAAAAAAAAAAAAAAAAAAAAAAAAAAAGTGAATAACATACAACTTTCCAGAAAATAAGATATAATTATGGTTTTAATATTTTATGGAATTTTAAAGTTAGTTTGGTTAAATTTTAATAAACTATTTTTTTAAATATTGACTATTGTCTTTTGACAAGTAAAATGGACTTAATAAACACGTAATTGTTTATGATAATAATTAGAAAACTCGTAGATTCAATTTAAAAGTTTCGGCTAGGTAAATGATTATTATTTTTCTACGATTTTTATGGCTATATTATTAAAATATTTTGCAATTTTACATCTGACAAGATATAACTAAAATTTTATAGAGGACTTACTGGCAGACACTAGTTCAGTTGATAAAATCAGTTAAAGTAGTAAAACCAAAAATAACTAGACAAAAAAACTAAACAAATATATATATAAAACATAGGTGTATAGTGGTATCAAGCCTCGCACACATAGTCAGTCCCGTACAATCAGAATAAAGAACAAACGTCCAACTATTTTTTTTTCTTTTCGCCAACCTGAACGAGATAGTTACTTTACTCAAATTCCTTTATTTCTAGGTTCATTAGTGAACCAAATGGTATAGCCGCTGTACAACTGGCCAACGACTGGATTGAGATGTGGATGTACTAAGTCCGTGAGCGATACGCGAGTATTACATCGCTGGTAACCCGATTTAGTTGCAATCGATTGCAAGTCAGGGGAGTTAGAGAGGAAACCAGGCTTTTCGATCCTTCTTTATAACCTTACTACAATGCTCTAAATATTTACATGTATGAATTTGTATATTTTGTACAAACAATAAGCATTGGAAAGATTCTAACTTAATTTACGGATTCACAGATTACAGTTTGAACTAGATCTGACAGAATAATGGAAACGAGTTGTTTTTATTTAAATGTTTATATTTGCATATTTTTTCTGCAGTGCTTTTTTTTTTTTATATCTGTTTATTGAGAAATAATACATTTTGCCACACTTAAGGGCACTGAGTACTAAGGCTGACTGAAGCATATTAATACCATATGTACAATACAATAATAAAAAATAAATAAATAAAAAAAATAATAAAAAAAATATACATCTATATAACAAAGGCAAAAACTATAATAAACCAAGGAAATGTAACTTAGAGTTAAAATTAAATAAAATACAGAAACGTAGCAAAATTAAATAAAATATAAGAAAAAGAAATAAATAGAAAAACATTCATACTTAATTACAATATTTACAATCAGGTTCCGAGTCCAGCCCATTTCCCCATTGTGAAGGACAAAGCGAGACTCTAAGAGATCCCAGCGCTCCTCTCTCAACCGCGTCGCCGGCATTACCATTCTGCAATACTAAGCAATCGTATAGAACAATCCACCAAAACCAGAATGAATTTGTCAGATTATCAATGGAGTTTTACAACTTCTAAATTATATTTTTTCAAGTTTCATCGATGAAATATATTTAATTCCTATATTTTATAAAATATTGTAGTTTTGGAGTATATTAGGAAACTTTAAGTTAGGTTGCTTGTTCAGAAAATCTTGACTAATTCTGAATTTTCATTATTAGTGTAGTTCAATGGATAAAAAGACAGATATAATACTGCATTTCTGCTTTTTTTGTGTTTTAAGTGAAAAGATTCGCAAAATTATAGATAATGTTGGTTCTTAATTTTCCTTTTCATCTACTAGTAACTGAGTAGGCAGTACACCTAAAATAAATTAGGTACTTTTCATTAAATATCAATATCTTATGTATTAATGACTGTATTTGAGTGAAGAATCGTGTGGGATAACGGAATTAAAGAAACGAAAACGTTTTTTGATTTTTGTCAAAGTAGCTGCCACCCTATTTCTTCAACTCTTTCGATCTTCAAATATTTTCGCTTTCATTGATGTTGTGTTTGTCGATTTACTCATTACTCTTCCTAGTTACATATGTCAATAATGATTAAATATGTCATGGGTGTTCAACTAAAACTGGTCAAGTGAAACTTTATTATTTCGAGATATAGGATGTTGAATTTTTGAGAAAATTAATATAGTACCAGATCAATAATATGTTATTTTCTGCGATGTTGAAACGAAGAACATAAGCACTCAATTTATGCTCAAGTATACTTGATCTGTTTTAGTTGTATTCCTGCGAAATATATATTTATTGTAAATAAATAATCTATTTTCTGTACTAAATGCATGTTTGCTGTAATATTATATCTGGTTTACAATCTTTTAATCAGAATATTTCTTAATTGTTTTAAATATAAATAATTTCACAATGTTAAATATATATGTATATTGTTTTATTCTTTCATGAATTCCCAACTGAATTAAAATAATATACAACTAGTAGATATAAACAGAGAAATATAATGACATGAAAAGGCTTGTGGAGAAAATACTCATTACTAAGACTCTCTTATATATTTAAATTTTGTAAGCAAAGTAGATATGAATTATTTAACAAACTGCTCCTGATAATTAAATTTAATGTTTTATTGTGATAATATGTAAACATTATTTTTAATATAGTTGTTAATAGAATAAAGTTTAAAACATTTCATGAAGTTTACCAGGGCTTATCCTTTTGAGATCCAATTTAATATTTAGTGTTTTGTACCTGATTGATTACTTAATTATTATTATAAAATGTAAAAAAAATAAATAAACAAATAATTTTATTGGTAAATCAACACGAATTTATTAGAATCAAATCGAAATTCCAAAGTTAATTAAATTAAATTCAGTCTTTGAATGGATTAAATTAAGTTACAGTAAAATTGGTTGGATTCGCTATCTTTTATTTCCTACTCAAAGACAGAAATCTTATAGTATCCAAAAATGTCCACTAACTTCCCATCAGATT